ATGATTTACTGGTTAAAATGAGCGAAAATGGAAATCTTGTATTTATAAATATTAATTTTTTAATTTTCTTTTTCATATTTTTCTCTCAAATTGAGAGAACAAAATGGTCATAATTTATATAACATGAATTGATTTACCCAGACAGGTACAATTCAGGGTTTGTTTGTTTGTTTGTGTAAATATTTATAATAATTTTCCCTTTTATACTTCTGTGTCATTGAAAAGATACAAACAGATGCGGAGTAATAAGAATGTAGGAATGTAATTACTATATTTTGATTTTTTCAAAAATAAAATTATTTGGTCTCGAGTCTAATTCCTGAAAAATAAATACTAGGAATTAAATTACCAATTCAGACTATTTTTTTTTTAATAGATGTAGAGAATTATAATAAGAATAATTTGATTTTTTTCAAAAATAAAATTATTTGGTCTCTAATTCTCAAAAATATGCTGAAAAATAAATACTATATAGGAATTAAATTGTTTTTATTTTTATTAGGACCACGCGCAACCAATAGATTCACGGTCTCGCCTGGCGCTTATGGATCAAAACCACTATAAATGAAGCAATAGTAACATTTAATACATGCTTTATGTTATTTTTAACATAATAAAACATCACCAATCTGAAGATTTTATATAAATTTAAATAAGTCTGAATGCAACAAGAACATTGAAACCATCGTTAGGAAAAGATTATTGTCTACTATTGCCATTTTCATCATTTTGTCATCACCATCACAAGTTTTTATTCGAGTTACATTGAAAGTTTACTCGAATAAAGTTTAAAAAGAATAAAAAGAATAAAAAGAATAAAAGATAAAAAGAATAAAATTAATGATAATTCGAATAAAATTGATAATTCGAATAAATAATGATAATGATAATAATAACAATAATTCGAATAATATTAATATTATAACATTAACCTTAACCCTTAATTTAATCTTTAATCCAGTAGTACAGTAGTAATTGTCATTTTTATTTCCTTTTCTTGAATACAGATTTTCATAATCGTTTCTTTTTTTGTTTTTTTAAGCATAAAAACTTTTTTATTTATTAGTCTTTACTTTAATCTTTATTTTGATTTGGATCTTTATTTGATCTTTATTTGGGTTGTTTTTGATTGTTCAATTACTAAATTGGAATTTAAATATATATATTTAAAAATTCACAAAGCCAAAGATAAATGTATGATTATTATTATTGTTCCCATGGTTTATTTTGTTTATTATAAAATATGTTATGCTAATGGTTCTAAAAAATGTGCCGGTAAAATATTACGTAAATTCCAATTAAAATTAATTCCTGATTGAGTATACATTTTCTACAATTTGTCTATAACTCTGGTAAATAAAATCAATATTAAAATATTAGTTAATTACAAGAGTTATAAATACGAGAGAAAATGCAAAAATTGAGAATCTTATCATGGTTTTAATTGTATTTTTATCCTTGCTTTAATTGAAATTTTATGAAATATATTCGTCATAACAGATTTATTTTTGTTGTGGGAATTTTGGATAAATTGCGAGAGAATTTATGACCATCCAGGGAATATGTTTTCTAAAATTGATGGAAACGATTCTTTTTTATCCCTTTATATAAACACATGCTTCCAATTAGTTTCATCTTTCAATTAGTTTCTAGAATTAACCATGAAATATATGTTTGTAGAGCAGTAGTGGTATGTAAATATGTAAATCCAAATATTTTTTCAAATAGCATTTTTTGAGAAATATTTAAATAATTTTATTATTAGCTCATATATTTTTTTGCAAAAAACAATTATAAAAAAAATTTGTTTAATATAAAGTTACTGCCTTTCTATCAAAAAAAAACTAATTGAACATCTGGAATCTAATAATCAAGGCCAACTAACGTTCATAAAATATCATTTTATATATTCCTCAAAAGTGCTCCCAACAGCTTAGCATTACATGTTATTATCATGTCATGATTGATTATTAATGAAACAAGTCTGGAATCATTAAAACAATATATCAATGAAAACAATGTCATGAAATCTATAGTGTGCGAGTGTGTATCGACCCACTGTGTTGCATGATATAGAATTGTAAATTCAATATTACCAGAAACATCCTTAAAATTTTTATTGAAATGCTATCAATCAAGGAATGCCAGAAGTAAGTGTTTCAAGTGCTGTAGATCTCCAAATGCCATTGAAAGCTTGCATAACACAACAAACTCCGCCTGTTGTTTCTTTTCTTTATCACAGGGTAATTTTCTTACAATGGGAGAAGATGAATTCATATAACATAAAGTTGCAGCATCAATACCCCAAAAAAAATTGTGATATTACGGATCATTCTTCAATTCTAGACCCACAAACCAAGCTCTCTAACTTCTCGGAAAAACAGGTCAAAATGCTTGCAGACATATTAAAACCATTTTGAAACTTACTAGGAGGAATCTTCCAATATATCATCTCCTATAAAAAGAACATCAACATCTACAATAAATATCAGTCGTCAATATTTCATGCAACTTGGACAAATTGTCCTTCCACAAATTTCAACATTTATAATCACCTCAACTCTTGCAGTATCAGAGTTAGACCATTGCCTTACATTGGAGAGAGATGAAGAGACAGATCCTCTCTTTATGGTGACAAGCGCGTGCTAAGGAATACCCATTTGCAAGTAATATGGCATGAGATTATCTTACAATTCAAGCGACTAGTGTTTCATCAGAACAGAATAGTTGCTGAAATAGAATTAGTAAAACGCGGAATTGTTTATTACCAGAAGCTGCAAGAACATGTTTATGTATGAAGAGCTGGATAATCAACAAAGTGGGAAATTGTAATATAGATGAAATTTATGTGAATTTTGCAGGCTCTCGTGTTATATTAAAGGTAGTCAATAATAAAAAAAAATTTTAATTTATTTATATATACTTTTATTGTTTTTTACTACTCAATTTCCTATTATTATTATATATTCTGATATATTATATACTCTGACCACCGGATTAAATTATACATACAACCTTTTCTCTTTCTCGTATAGTATTTTCTTTACGCGTATATTCGTCGAGTTATTAAGTATAAACAGCTTAACCAGTTAAGTAATTTTATGCTTTTTATGGCATTATTTTTTGCATACACAATATCCTACGGCGTATATGCCGATAATCGTGTGGATTATTCACTAGTACAGTCCCATATGGTCGATTATTGGGGGAGATTGTCATATACGCCCACTAGGAAGATCATTCCTACCTAGTGCCGATTAATGTTGATTGCCGAAACTATTTTGAAGAAGCGAAAGTCAAAACTAAAATTAAAACTTACATGTCAAAGCTAAATCAAAAATCAAAAGTCAAAGGTCAAAACTAGTTTCGACTTATGCCGAAACCTTTTGACTTTCGCACAGTTGCGAAACTCTCTAGTTTTGGAAACCAACATTAGTGCTGATATTTTTCCAGGGACCTATTTTATCAATGCAACCATATACACTTACCCTAATTATATTTTTAAATATTGTTAATATTGTTACTGATAATATTTGATTATTTTTTCAAGGAATGTATATATCAGAACAAACACCATTTAAAAACTGGTCTCTCCTCAAATGTCTAGAATATTTGGAAACTAGATCGTTAGATTTGAGAACATCTGACAAAGAATTAATTCAAAGCGATTTCAAGCATCATGTCCATTCACTAATGAATCATCAAGCGGTATTGAAAAGCGTACAAAAAAAAGCTAAAGACTTTTTGAGGAAGCAGATCGGGTGTTGGAATCTGAAGAAATTACAACGATTTTTAGAAGAATAGATACGAGGGTAAATTACTTTTATTAGTGATTACTTTTTTTCATTCAGTGCATCCATGTAATATAAACTGTTGATTTTGCAGGCACTTGAAGAAAGCAAAAGGGAGCTATTAGCTGTAAAAAAATCATTATTTGATACGGAGGTCCAGCTCACTATCGAAGACTATAAAATACAGACCACATCATCTTCGGTAATTAACTGAATTCATTGATGCATTACATGAGATATGATGCTAATTTCTCAACACCACAATAAGATTAATTTAAACGATTCACTGATTGACTTGAGACCAAATTCAAAATTTACAAGAAAACTTCCTCTAGATATTCTGAATCCTTATTTGAAAGAACTTGATGACAGAATTGAAAATTTGATTCCATTAAACGTTCACAATTTTTTAACAAAGTTTTTCAATCAGAATCTAACAGATAGTGGTTGGAATAATATGATTGATGATCTACAATGTTCAGATAAAAACGACCATTTAATGGTTTCAACGGTTCGAATCTTGCGCAAAACTTTACCAACTTTGTAAGTACAAATGTTCTTTACCATGCTAATAAGAATGTTTTAGTTACGACATCTGCTTGATTTTTTATAGCATTATGGCTTTTTCGTTAGGACCAAGAAATCCACTTTTAAATTTGGGTACGTTAGAAAAACCACATTTAAATAATTTCGTGCACCCATGCCTGCAAGCCAGTCTATGGTACATTTCATCTATAAATTACAAGTTCGGAGAAATAAGCACGAAAAACCATAAAAGGGAATGTGCGGACAGTGTGGGATATTTAAATACTGCAGACAAATTTCAATTGGTATACGTGGAGGCTCAAGACCCAATGAAAAAGATGATAAAGAAATAGCAGATGCTTCTAAAATCTCTGATAACCTTCAGAAAATTTTTTTAAATATAGCCAAGGATAACATAAAATGTAGAAGACGACTACCTCAGTTGACTGGTCCATTGCCATTAATAAAATACTAAATATGGTTAAACGGTGGCGTTCATTTCGTCAACAATCATTTCGTCGACAGTTCATTTCACCGACAACACGGGGGTGATGATTTCGCGTGTGGGCACATATTATTAACAAATTTTATCATTTGAAGTTAAATGTCGGGTGTTGTCGGTGAAATGAACTGTCGACGAAATGATTGTTGACAAAATGATACAGACCCCACTTATTATTGTTTTTTTTTTTTTTTTGATGTTAATATAGAAAGAAAAAAATTTTATTATCACAACCATTTTTGTGCTTTAAAAACATCTCGGATACTTGTATAAATTAGTTTTTTTTTACCTGAATTTTAAATAATCCTTTTCGCCATCAATTTTTTTTTCAAATCATCAGATTCTTCTCTTGTTACTGGTAATTGTAAGTCGTCAAGCGATTGGATAATTTTTGCTGATAGATTGAATGGATTGAGTGTTGTATTTGATATGATAAATATTGGATTTAATCCTTTAAGATATTCTCCTTGAATCTTTAAATTATTCCAACTCTCATTCTAAAATAACAAAAAACAATATACAATATACAATAATGACGAGATCGTTGAAAGTGATGACAAGGTTGAAAATGCAAAACTTCCAAGATTAGCCCAAACCTCTTCTTTGTATTGGATTAAGTGGATTAATGGCCTCATGGATATTATTCGCCGACCACAACCTACAAACAAAAAAGATAAGGGAAAGGCTTTCATACTTGAAAATATGTGATGGTCAAACCTGGAGAGCCCTACTGAGTCAAGCAGTAAACCTCAAAGAAGGAAAGAACAAAGAGTGAAAAAGAAAGCGGAAAAGAAAAACCAAAACAATATCCCTGATAGCGATCCCGAATAAGTGCCTGAGCCGGGACTAGAAATAAGTTTCAGAGAACAACGTTATTCGTGACGGATGAGACACAAAAATCTCATAGCAGTTCATAGAAGAGCAATACCAAAAAGTACACCCTCAAGAGCAGATGAAATTTTGTTTCTTGAGAAGAAATCAAGACAATATTGAGAAGAGAGCAAGGAAAAAAGAATGGGTTGCAATGCTTAATTTCCTAAAAAGTATCCTCTATTATCCCGATTAGCAAAAAAGAAAAATCTCTTACAAAAGAGGATTCTCTAAGCTTGATTATGAAAATGTAAAAAACTTGGTATAGATCTAGTAATAATGACATAACGATTAAAGAGTAGTAAGTGGAAAGTATCTCCTTCCCATTTATTTTTTTTTCTAAACAAAAAATAATAATAAAAGTGAGTTTAAGTTGATAATTAATTTAAACATTTCTAAAGGTTGTCTCTTGTCTTTGTCATTTGAAAAAATATTCTATTGTTGCTCTACGAACTCAAAAAAACAATAAATTGTAAGCAATTCACGATGCATTTTAGTTCAGATAATGTATATTATTACTGTTGATATCGATTTGATTCAAATAAAAAAAGTCTGTTCAAAACGCACATATAGCTAGCCGATATACCACACTGATCTAAAAACACTTGCCAGACTTAATATCTATACAAGCAATGACTATATACGAGATTTTTTCATGTTGATGAAACATTGAATAGTTTACAAAAAAAAGATATCAACGTCATTGTATCATGCAAGACTATGATGCACTAGTTCAACTAATGTTCAAAGAATTTTGGTAGTTTGTCATTGTGACAGAGACACGTAAATCAGTGGGTTTTTTTGTTTAATAGAGTACTACTAATGTGGCAGAAACATAATATTTTACAGGCCAGTGCTTCAAATAATGATATAAGAAATCACGGACTTAGACTTTTATACAGCCTATCGAACATTAATACATTTATTTAGTTGGACATCTTTAATTGGTGATCAATTATGATACATATTGACACTCAAATATTATTATTTCTTTACAAGTTTTTGACTTTGCTACTGAGTAACCCTAGACTTCGAAGAATTTTTTTTCGTATTGACAACTTTTAATTCGCCAATCGTGTGTAGAAGGAATCTCACGCCTCTCTATAATTAAAAACCATCGGCGCATATCAACACATACAGTATAATAAAAACTTGGTAATTTTTATTTCCCAAAAGTTATATTTATTCTAGCATATATATATTACGGATATTATTTATAACAAATAATAAATGCTTTAATAAAAAAATGGATTTTGATAATAATAAAAAGAATAAAAAGATAATGACTAATATATTTAAGAAAACCAAGCTTTAGGCAGAAAATTTATTGTTTAAAATGTTTTTTTGTAATAAAAACAAAAAAAAATTTATATTTTTACTATTACTATGTTGATTATCTCTATTACGATATTAATATATCCTAACCATTACAACTTGCACAATCAGATAAGACTTCTGTATGTAGTTTACACAGCATGCAATAACAAACTTGTTATATTTTCCATGAAATACTATATATGTAAATAACCATTTTCACTAAAATATAAAAATTATTATAGCGAATAAATAATAATTATTGTTATTATTGTTATCTCCTCCAGGATGCGAAACCCTATTATAAAATTCCGGGCATAAAACTTTAGAATGTTCGATAAAATTTGGGGAATCGATTTCAGATGTATAAATTTACAAATTATTATCATTATTCGGTATATTAAAATTATTCATTTATTCGAATTACTCGTTTTATTCGTATACTCGCAGCTTTTGATCAACAAATTCTATATTTATCGTTAAGGGATTTTAACTTATAAATGGCTTATTTTAATAAGATAATATAAATTACAATAATGATGTTTATAGTCTATATTACTCTTGAGAAAGGAAGGAAAATTCTGCTATTACTATTTATATTAATATCATTAGAGATGGGTATTGCATCATGCGCATCATGCATGTGTTATCGAACATGATTTAACTATTTCATTTTCACGCACAACATATATATATATTAATATTTCTTATCAATTTTTAGTCAATGGTTTTAAACTAGTGCAAGAGACACTTAAGATCTTCACGTAATGACAGATCAAATGCCCAAAATCAACAACAGATAAAAGCATATTTAGTCATAGAAGTGGTCAAAAGTCGTATAGAGTAAATTGATTTAATAGCATATAAGTAATTGAAATTCTATATGTTTAAAAAGATTTTTATGGTTAATAAATAAATCTTTTTTGATCTTCGGATAAGAATATTCTATGGTTTTTACCAAGAGGGGTTTTTTTTTTTAAAAAAAAAAAAAAAGTGTAACATTACACAATTCGCTCGTCGGGGTATCATGCGCATTATGCATCAACCCACATCTAATTATTATCACTATATACAACAAGACTATTAAAGAAAAATAGATTGATAAAGAAAAAATGGGTTAATTGAATTGAATTAGCATATTAATATTAATATATACAGTATTTTATTCGAAGCCTATTATTTAAGAAAATTTTTTTGGTCCGATAAATTCTATGTCAATGTCCAACATATGTTAACACATAATATTAATTAATATAAAATAAGCAATGATCTATTTTTTATCAATATCATTTTTTTGATCAAGTACAAAGGTAATAAACAAACAAACAAATAACTTGTATCACATTAATGGAATATTTATTTCTTTAAGTATAAATGAGAATGTTTTGCCAATAATATATAATACTTATTGCATTAAAAGTTATAAAGTTGATGTTTAGAAGAAAAGAAAATAATGGTTTAGTCTCTAAAACCCATAACTTTTTCCTCTTATATAACCTCCAATACCTGTTAAATCATTGGATCATAACTGAAAAGATAGAAAATGAAACATATATTAGAGAAATATATACATAAATTTGTTCAAAAAAAAAATCAAACTCCCTGACATGCAAATTTCCTTGATTTTAGTAAAAATCATACTTTGGACAGATTAACAGATTATGAACGAGCAACTCGAACAGTATTTATTTCAATGGTTATCATTAGAGATTTTTTAATAACTTTTTTTACCAACATGTTAGTAGAAGTATCATGTTAAAATTCTATTGTGGTTTTTTTCTATAACCAACTTTCAATAGGATTAAGGTCAGAACTATTGAGTGGCCAGTCTATTACACGAATTCTTTTTTCAGAAATGAAAGTTCTTGCATTTATTATCGTGCAAACAAGATATCCATCCATTTTGTCATGTGAAATTAAATTTTTTCACTTACATTTCGACATATATCAAAATCAAACATACAAAAATAATCATTCATTTTAAAAAAAATCAAAATTACAATTTCATTGGTTTTTTTTGAGTTGATTACACGCAATAGATTTCCTTTTTCTGAATATTTGTTTTTAACTTTTTATTGGTCATGTAACTCCAAAAAATAAATCGTAATTTTTTGAAGCCCAATACCTTTCCCTACAAAGTTACGATTTCATTTTGTTGGTATGTTATGTTATTATGGAGGATTTGAGTCTCAAAGTTGCACACGTTTATCAAATTTGCTATGTTCAGACAAAAAAGTTTAAACGAATTGAAACAAAATAAAAATTGCCAATGTCAATATTATTGCATACTTATTCATGGAATGGCTAGGAAATATCACATGATCAAACAATTTTTATTGCATTTTTTTATTTTTTCTCGATGATGTGACACGAAAAGTTGTAGGACTAGGTGATTTGTATAGCACGAGTCATCTAAAACCGACCAATTTTATTCTGCATTTTGAAGCCTATCACATGGACACAGAGTAATTTGGACTCAGACTCTTCATAATTTTATATAGTCAATGACAAAGAATAATTCTATAAAAAGTTTGATGTAAATATCTATTACTTAAAAAAGATGTGATGGTTTGAATATTAGTAACTTTCTATATTTTAAATAATGTTTACCTAAATTTTGCTACCTCTTCCTTAGGTCGTTAACTATTGATGATAGTTTAGGAGAAGATCACTCTCTATTTAAGAAATTTTATTTTTCTGAATATTCTAGAATTTGAAATTTTGTGTTTAGATGACTCGGGCTGTATAAATTTTGGCGTGCGACCAATGGATTCTACAAATTTAGAAACTATCTGTGCGTAATGATCTACCATCTGAAGTTATTGATTATTAATTGAATTAATTAAATCCCTAATTTGTTTAATTCATTGTAGTTTATTTGTTTATGGCCAAAGCTTGTTAAATTCGTATTCGATAAATTCATTATTATTATTATTCGGTAATTTCATAATCAATGATCTTTTATTATATGCTATCATCGCTTCTCTCATGTAACCATTAAAATATTGCCATTAGGTAAGTAGTAAATGAATTCAAGTTTCAAATCAAGCAGATGATGATAACAAAAAAGAATTTATATTTTCTTGAAAAACGTAGAATTTGCAAAGAGCTTTTGGCTAATAATAATTGGGAATTATGAATTTTTTATCGAAATCTTTCTTTTCTATAAAGTCATTATTATTATATCACTCTCATTAAAGAACGACTCTCGATAATGGCATAATTCAATAAATTCATAGAATTTGCTGTACCAGACCTATGGATTTAACGAGTTTTGACTGCATTTGTTTATTCATTCATTAAGGAAACATAAATGGAACAAGATTCATGAATAACAATTTTTCTAGGTTAATATTGGCTGATTTAGTTTGGACATGCAAATTAGCATAGATTTCATTTCACAACAATAATAGAGACAATAGAGACAATATTAATATTGACCAACTTCATCTTTTTCAAGGTCTATTTCAAGCTCTTCGTCTGACGCATAAATATCAAGAGTAGATTTTTTTAGTAAAAGATTATCAACTGATGGACTTTATTCGAATTAGTTTTTTCATTCAAACAAAATAATCTTTGAATGCTTTATTTAAATTTCATTGTTAAAAATACTTTTACATAACATTTTCAAAAGGTTTACGCCTCTTACAACTAACCAAATACTGGTAAAACAAAGAAATTTAGTTTGGTAAAATGTGTTGGGAAAATATTTACTGCACGTTTAATCCGTGGAATAGAAAATTCCTAAGCGAATACCTTTTTTTATTGATTGCGTACAATATGACTAAAAATCATTGTTAAAATTAATTCCATAATAATAGTTTTTAAAAAGGAGATAACTTCCCCTTTCAAATCATTATAAAAAGCCTCGGTTTAAACCCATCTTCTTTTCATCAAAAAATACAAAAAATCAATACTTTTATATTATAATCATTATTTGTTCCATATAATACATTTATTAAAATCATATTTCTGTTTATTAATCTAAATATAAAAATATCTTTATTCCAACGCACTTTCAAATGAAGAATTTTATCTTAATCCTTGTTCTTATTCTCGGATCCTTCGGAGCTTTAGCTGCTGTAACTCCAGCACCTCGCACAGGTCATGCTTTAAGTGTTAATGCTCAGTATTGCCCAGTTGGATATAGTAAATGTTACTACAAGGATAGTTGCTGTAAAATAGACTATTATTGCTGTACGGATTCCCTTGGAGGGTGTTGTCCAAATGGATCATATTGTACTCCTAATTCATACACATGCTCACACTATTGATATAGTAGGGAAAGAAGATTCATTTGAAACCAAGTAAAATATTGCATTGGATTTTTCATCAATATGTATAAAATTTTTGTTATAAATATTTCAATATTTTTAGTATATGAAAAATATCATGTAGTTGGTTTATATTTATTCATTTTTTTTTTCTATGATGTACAAATGTAATAATAAAATATTGATATTAACTATTTGTTATTATTAATTCAATCATTGTTAATAATTTTGTTCCGATTCAAAAACAAATCGTGTTTATTAATATTGGGGTGATGTGTTTGGATACGAATTCAAATTGACCATGTACGTGAATTTTAGCCTATTATTATCAATAATAGATGATACAAGAAAGGTTATGTTGCATTATTCATTGTAAAATAATAATGGTACAATCTGGAGGATATTTTCAAAAACTTGCATCGCAAATATATATATACATATGTATATGTTTATTTATTAATCAATCTATACTATTATACAAAAGGATTCAATACAATGATGACAAACATCTTCTTGGTTTATTAACAGGTAGATATCCCGGCTGTGTTGCCGCAACAATATTAAGTATTTTTAAATATATCGTTAATATTTGACTATATGACTACAAAGAGAATAAAGAACACTATGCCGCGAAGATGTAGTCGAATATGATGAAAAACCCAACGAACAAGGTGAAGAAGAACTTCAATACAAGACTACCGTACGTGTATTGATATAGTCTGGTGACTTGAATGAAGTTCAAATCCCAGTAAACCAACACGATTATATAGGTATTTATGCAATAATATAATTATACTATACTTTTGTCGTATATATACTGTATATACTACATAAATTTTTTTGTGTGTGCAGATAGAAAAAAACTCAAAGAATATTTTGTTTCTTTTCTTGTATTGAAAAAAAATTTTACTTTGTGGGATGTAGAGATAGTTATTTCCGCAACGAATATTGACAATATTAACATATTCAATAAATAAACATTTCATTCAATGTCACCTTTGGTTAATAATAGTGAATCACCACCACCGCCATTAGATATGGATGGGTTAAGCTGGTCAAGTTATTTATATTTACATTACTTTTATAAATAAAATTGATTTGGGCATTAGTACTAAACAAAGACTAAATAAAACAAATTTTCAAAAGGAAAAGCATAAAAGAAAAATTGCTGAATCTGTTAAAGCAATAATAGAATGTCTTGGTAAAGGTCAGGTATTAATGTTGTGAAGAAAGTGTCAAGCGTATGCAAATATTTTTTTTTTTCATTATAAGAATAATAGTAATGTATTGTTTCTATCTTTATATTACATAGTAGTGGAAGCAGTTGAGATTACTTATTTCTTTAGATATTATATAAGACTTGATCATTATATTAAAAGTTATAATGTTAATGTTCAGAAGAAAAAAAAATAATGGTACAATTCCAACATGTGAAAATATATTCGAAATTCGTGTCACATGAAGTTTTTTTAAAAATATTTCGCTATCTTTATAATAAACTCTAACTTCGTTGTTAGAGTAAAATAAAAGTACTCCATTAAAGCTTTTTAATGGATACTCTTTCATATCGAAAGGTCTTCTCTACATGAATTCACGGCTATTCAAAAACGGTATTACTTTTTCACTTCATAGCTCAGATTATTTCTCAATATCGCTTTAAAAGATTTGATAATAAATGAGAAGGTATAGAATAATTTAAGCCTTCATATGGTCATTACTTTATGAGGGGTATTGGTTAATAAGTTTTAGATAGGTCCATGAAAAACTATTTTATTGAAACTTAATACTGTAATAGTCATGAAGAATTTTATGTAGATGGGATTCAGCAAAAACTAAAAGGTATTTTATTTTAAAATTCATTAATGATTATTTTATTTATATATAAATAAATAATAAATAAAACGTATAAATTGTCTTTAACACTCATTTCGATCAAACCCGCCTATATAATTATTGAATAATTGACATTCGTTTTGCAAGCTTCGTAGATCTTGATTAACTTCGATCAATCCCGCCTATAATAATAAACGTTCATTTTGGAAACTTAATGCCCCAAAGAAACTCTATCTGATCCAATGTTACGGTCATTTAATACTGTTCGAATCCGTATTTCGCGATTACGATCCTGTGGTTTCTGTGGAGGTCGTGGTGTTCCTCGCAAGACCATTTCTATGTCAAGTTCGACTTTACTTTGATTGTCGGT